CTTCCGCGTCCTAACGAAACCCAGGGCCAATTCAAAGAACGCGATTCGTGACGGTCAAGTAAAAAATTAAAATTCCGGCGTTATTGAAGTTGATTTTATGCATTTTTTTTTCTATAATAATCACCAAAAAAACAAAAACAATCGTAGAAAAATGTATAGTTTCGAGTGTGTATTATTTATTCGAGCAGACAAATATTATATATGCTTAAGCTCGGTACCGCTTATTAATATTAAATTATTTAATAGTATGTATAAATAATAATCTAACTATAAATATTAAATTAATTATATAATATTGAGTTAATATATAATCGAATTATCAATAATCTGGACGGTGTGTTTGAGTATAATAAAAAAATGTATAAACCGAATAGGGAAATAGAAAATAAAATCGAATGCTTAATATGCAAATTCGTAGCCTCGATTATTCGAGAAATACATTTTTTATAATACCATATTTATTTATGTATATGAATAGAAAGTTGCCGCATTGATTTAGTACTTAGATACTCGTGTCGTAGCCCAATACAATCGGTTAGACCTTGGATAAATATTATAAAGATTTTACCAATAATATTTATGTTATGCACACTTATGCTTGCTAAATCATTCAAACGAAAGACGGACCGTCTGCTTTCGCTGAATTCGTTACCATGTGTTTACTGTCCTCGGTATAGGCTTTAAAATCGTATGTTGTAATGAATTACAAGTACACAGGTACTTAACACGGGATGTATAACGATAATAGGATGTAATATCCGCAAAGGGCTGATATTTTTTAAATTGTATTGGTTTTGAGATTCGAATCGGAAACATATATATATATATATATATATATATATATTGTATAACGGACGGTTTGAGTGTATTCTGTATAATAGTTGGGAACTTGAGAGTATTAAAATCGAAATGGTTACAATGCCAACTGGAAAATAGCTATATATTAATATCATTGTATATTGAAGTGAAATGTCGGTTAATGAAAACAGTATTACTATATCATACTGTTCGTTTAGGTTATATCGCTGATGTGTATTGATAATAATAACAGTTTTATTATTATGTACACTCTGAGTAGTGTGAGTCTAAGAAAACGCGGTATCACGTTCAAATTGATTTACCTTTTGTCATATTAATACCTACTAGATTTGTATTACAGGTAGAGGTAACCGCGTACCTATCTGTATGCCCAACAGTAATAATAATTATTATTTACCACGCGAACCGCACAATAGACGATGATTGTGTAGAAGTAGTAAACTTATGGTCTTGTCTTGTGCAATAATGGATTTTTTTGGCGCGCCGCACTGATATAATAATATGTCAGCTGTCGAATTACTTGACGATGAAATGGTCGAAAAAAAAAAACCAGACATTTTCTCAATATTGTAATAAATTATTATCGGTGGGGTTTTCAGGGGATAGGCGATGGGGGAGATTTCCCTACTCCTTATTGACTCTAAAGTTAAAAAATACACATTTGGCCGACGATTTCTCATTAGGAAATTAACCGAGTTTTAGGTATTTCCATGATTCATACAATAACCATAAAAATAATAATAAGGTCTATTAATAATCATTTCATAATAATGAAATTAGTGGTCGTGGCCTGTGGACAAGTAATTTTCTAAAAGTTGACTGGTACCTATTAAAATTTGTTAATTATTATTGTTTCTTAATGTTAATGTAACAGTTTAAAATAAAAAGTTAAAATCGATATTATAATCAAAGAAAATGTAAAGCGAGGAGTCAAGCTAAGACAATTGTCAGTTTCACATACTTTACTAATACCTAACTATCTTCGGTAAGCAATCATGAGTAACGTCTAATTTTAGGAAAAATTAGATTTAAAATGTTTTTGAATTAGAAAAATAAACGGTATAAAACAATTAAAATCTCATTTTCGGATCTGATCGGTTTCTGATCTATAAAGCAGCTGCACGAAGGATAATAGGTTCAAAAATAAATAAAATCACATTGTAAATACTAAAAAAGCTAAAACGCAACCGGCGTTACCGACACCACCGTCCGTCTGTTCTTGGTGAAATGAAGATTCATCGGCCTATTGTCTGTCGGCGACGGTGTGGTAATAAAATTTCCATCTCCGGCGGCCGTAGTCGTTTAGAATCCGACCGGCCTATATTGCACCTAAAACGCCTCTTCCATCCTCAGACCTTGAAAAGATAACGATGCCCACGTGAATAGCAAGATTTTCCACAGATCTGTTGACGGTTGCAATATATTATAATATACAGATGTGCGTTATAAATAATAATATTATAATGTTGTGTAACAGCGACGACGGTCTAGAAATCCGATCCATATAATATGTGTGTGTGTGTAAATGAGTATTTACCTAGTGCTTTAACCGGACGTTACGAGTACATATATTGTTATAAATTATAAAATATATATATATATATAATATGTGTAATGCGGCAAAACCGGTGGTAGCTGTAAAACTTTGTCGTGTAAGTGTAACCTACACCAGTTGTAGAACAGAAAAACTGCATTGAACACTATGCACGTATGAACTATATTATTATGTGGATTGTATGACCCATAAAATTGATGTATTTATTTTATTATAACTCTGGCGATTTCGTAGACGTGACCGCGAAGATGTATTTCATCCTCCAGACGCCTCTTGGCTTAAACTTGCTACGTGGAATGCATAAAGAGATGTACTTTTTAAATATGTGCAAACAACCTCATTGCATTAATGAAGCTATGACAGTCAAAAAGCTGTCAATTTGACAGTTTATTTCCTTTAAAAAAAACGAGTTTGTAATATTTTATTATTATTTGTCATCGAACGTACCTCATATATTTATAACCTGTACTGTTTTGTACAATTTTTACATTGTTCTCTTGTAAAATTCTCTACGAACCAACAGTGTCCTTTTGATTTACACACCATTCCACCTTCTCGATACTAGTGCGTTGTTAAATTCAGTTTGTATATATTTTTACAGCTACACGCTCGGTCATAGTAATTAACGAAAATGACTACCGTAGGGAAAGTGTTGGTGATTATTTAACTTTTCACTATGTCATCAGTCGTACGCACATTGCTTAAACTCCGATCGGTAATATACAATATAATAAAATGACTATGTATTATGAAAGGCAACGTGTAGTTTGAGTAGTGTGTTCTGTACAAGTCTTGATCAATTTCTAAAATGCCTAAATTATAGAATATCTACAAATATCTATATGCATTCCAGTTAACATGACCATAAATCGATTCTGCGGATCATAGTTGCAACTATTGAAACTTTTAAAATAAACTTTTTTCCAAAACAAATATTTCTTCGTCGTTTTGTCCAAAGTCTAGATTTATTTTTGTTTTAAGTTTGCGGTTTAAAAATTCAGAAATGTAACGTGCTCACATGCTAGTGGATGTCATCATATTGTTTTTTTTTAAATATATTTCAATATGATAGACGTTTTTTCCCCCAGGCTTAGTATCACTGGCTTGTTATTGATAGTTTTATTTGTTTTTAATTTGCATGCTTATAACGCAAGGTAGTCAGTGTAAATGTGGATGGACCTGTAAAACGACCAAAGACTATACTGTTTTACCCGCCAGGCATATAAAACTATATTGTAATAACCTGTTCGGAGGAAAAGTTGACTCTGTCAGTGATAGTGTTGCGATTTTGTGCAGCGTTATGCTGCTTTCTCGGTTGTCAGTTTTCGATCGGTCCACAGCTCTGATATTGTCGAAACGCCATAAACATGTACGTTACAAACATATAGGTTTGGTGTGAAATAAAAACCGCGCCGGGTCTAAAACAATACCGATTTTTTGTAAGATTATCATTGTACCATATTATTGTGTTATACAACCCACCTGATATCGCATAATATAAAATAATATGGACTAAGGCACGGCGGCGACTGTTGCGCAACCGTACCCTAAAAGATTGACACTATTCACTTGACATTTCTTTAGATAATACTTTGTTTTGAAAATTCACTGCAAGCGCACGCACATACAATAGACCGGCGGTGACTTAAACGATCGCACGTTTTGGTGGGCGACCGGAATAAAAGGTCGGCGCTAATGTTTTAACTTTGAGTGTGCCGTGTGTGGTAAGAGGGCCGTCCGCCGTTGTATTACTATTATCTAGTCGTACATTTAGCGTACAAAAAAAAAAAAAAAATTAACACAACAGTAATAATAATAATAATATATGATTACACTAATTTATAGACGGTCGGGCACGCGACGACCTATAAAAAAAAACGACAGCGGCATTCCTCAATCCGACGTGTGGCGAATATAATATATATATATATATATAGCTAAGGTGGCAGTATGTTATGTCTTTTTAGCACACTCGTTCGTGTTGTTTTCGGGGCCGACTTTGGCCGAAATCCCGATTAGAATATAAAGTTCCCTGACCGCAGCACTACGGTTAGGCGTGTAAACGATTACAAACGCCCAAATATGTTGTACCTACACATCCTATTGCTGCACTTTAAACTTTCGAAATCTCAAACAATGTCGTACATTGTCATTCAAACCACGGAAAGGACGGATGACATTCAACCTTGATGTTTTAACGACCCAAATAGCGAGAATCCAACCGGATATTTTACATATGACTACCGGATAACGATCATCGGAGACGTGTCAGCGCCAATTTTGTACTCCAATTCCACGTTTGGCGCATGATGAATAATGTGAAAGCATATCCTTGATGTGATTTGCCACGACAGTACAATACACAGCGTGCGAGTTTTTGGCGGTAAATTATTATAGGAAAACGGTATTTTCAAAATAGCACTTGAACTTTTTCCAATATCCCGGAACGCAATGTGGCTGTGTGGCTCTTCTTATTTATAACTCAACTAAGATATAACTATTCGTTTACAATCGTCTCATCTGATCTTGTTTAACTGTACAACACTTCATTATAATCATATACTAAACAACTAATTTTGATGATTTATCTTTTTCGCTAACAATTGTTCTCCTTTGCCTTTTGCAGGTACCATCAAGACTTCGTTGATGGCCGGTTCGTCGTTCAACGTCACGTGGCATCTGGCCTATCCACACCGGGTGAGTGCTATAGACGAATATTTTTTTTTTTTTTTTCATTATACACATGAAATAACATAAAAGGTGTACACACCGTGTAAAGTAATACAATTAATCTAGAGATCACGACCTAGCCATAGTCGAGACCTATACGAATACCATTATGTCATTATGCACATTGCACACACGGTCGTGGTCCACAATCGACGGCAGAGCGTGTGAGCGAAAATCCGTGACGGCCGTTTACACACGAATAATATATTTTTTTAAGTACCTACTACCACCTATGAGGTAATATTAACATCAGATGCTGCGGTTCCCAAACGCGACAGTTAGTGTATTATTATGACATGACCGTTGTGGTTTTTGTGCGAATTATCTTTTAGGGAAGCGACACGCACGACTAGATCTCCTTACACACACACTGTTCGTCCCTCGTCGACAGGTCAGGACTTGGGTAGGTAATGTGTACCAGAAATAAATTCCTCGAGTATGCACCCTCGGTAAGTAGTTTAAGTTTGAATATAACTGTCGCTCGGCTGTGCTACTCGAGCGTCCACGCAGCGACGGTAATTAATTAATTGGGAGCGTTTACGTAAGTCCGATTTGCCATACTACAGACACACGGAGAAAGCGACGACAATGTTTGTGGACAAAAGGCCTGACCCGGCCGAACCTCTTTGATGGATCGATCGTATCGGAATTAAACGAAAAATCATTCGGCATTGTCATCAGGCGCCGCGTTTTCCGGGGTAGAAAGCTCACGTCATACCGCCGCCACGTATAAGGCTTGATTAATAATTATTCTGACCGTTGTTTGTGCGTAGGCAGGCACTCAAACGATAGCTGTACCCGTTGGCCGTTTAAGGAATAATTGGTTACAATATTTTGCTCGAAGGTCGTAAGGTCTGAGCCGGAAACTCGACGCCACTTGTTTGTGATAAATCGCCTAGACGCCTATAGCTCACAAAAGACAACCAGGTTTCAAATAAAAATATATTTTTGGTTGAAAAAAAAAAAAATGGAACATTTTATCAATTTAACGAAAATATCCAGGTTTATAAGAGCGGGAAACGATAGTATCGAAAAACATACGGTTAAAGTACAACAGAATGTGTTAATAACACTTATTATTGTTCAATATTTGTGAACAACAACAAAAACTAATCCGACCAAAACAAACAATGAACGACGATGTCCAAGAAAACATTACCTGGATATTTTTTTCAAAACGTTTAAGGATTCTATCAAAATTAGCATTTACTAAGGCGCACCGTGTAAGAAATCACAGGTTCAAGTCCATGAATAATACACATATGTTTACCGTGAACGTGTTAATAGAACCTTCGGGACATAATAATTACAAACGTTCAATATTCCTGCACATAAGGTCTCAGAGAGGAGTCTATTTCATAACTGTACGGGCTAGACGTTAAAAATTATCAGTTACCTGCGGTAGATTGTTTGCTTGTCAAAAATCCTGTGTTTTTTTTCCATCGTGCACGATAGAGGGAATACCCGGTATGCTTCGGTATTGTAAAAAAATATTAGATGGATTCCTTAAGCCGACCAAACTTGACCGGAGGAGGAAAATCCGGACACACTGTTGACTCACGTGCGCGTTCCGCGTTAATTCCGAAATCAAAATGTATTTGTTGTGAAACTCCGCGTTAAGTATAAGTAAGTGTCGTGTTTTCCATCCCAAAAAAAAAAAAAAAAAACTATGCAATACTTCTCACCGCACGTACACGATATTGTGGCAATAGTGTTAGTTGTACGCGCATTTTCTGCACTACATTGTGTGTATTGCATTTATATTGGATAATCGCCATCTTAGACCGCTTACTACATACATTGTTGTTATTACTATTATTCACTTAAATAACGCGTCAATCAATTTAGATTAGAAGTGGTTAAGAAAATTCCGGGATAAACCGGCGTACGCAAAACATGTTTAAAAATATATTATGCGCATATTGTAATGTGGTCAGAGAAGATAAGGTAAAAATGAGCTAGCTATAGTACGGATCTAATGACAGAGTAAATAGATTCGGCTGGTATGGTAATCAAAACAAGTGGATGTGAATAGAAAGAGGAGTGGAAGCCCACAAATACGTTTAGAGACAATTCACATGGATTGTGTAGGAACAGTTGTTGTGTGGAAAACCGTATTGAGTGAAGGTTTAAGATTAGGTAGGTAGATCCCTAATCAACTTTGGTCGTATTCATTAACAGCTGTTCTGGTTTGATCACAACTTTTGATTATTTTAACAGTCGCCTTAGTGTTGTGCTAATAGAATAACAAATAGTATTTCAACGAATACCAAACAAATTTAGGCAGACCCGCACTAGGAGGGTATCAGCCCACTATTGTAGATCAGCATGCGTTCCGAAATGTGTACTTTAGGAAAGCTACAGGGTTGGGGAGCACTTTGAATTTCGTTGATCCCATAATAGTTTATACAAATACTCTAAATTTTTTTTTAATCTAAAAATTTGAATTTGAATTTCTGATTACAATTTCTTTGTTTACTCTTTTTGCCGTGGACATAGACATGCAATAGTCAGGAATCAAGTTTCAAGATTGAGTAATCTTCCCTTCAAGCCTCTCGCTTTTTCATCACAACATGTGAAACCGAATTGAGTAGCTTATGTTATTGGTACGATAAAGACGAAGGTCACTGCAATTATCGTACGTGCCGTTAATTATTATCATGTTCGATAAGCAGTTATTGTCTATACGCATTACGGTATTTTTCATTTGGAGCTGGCGCAAGAACGACCAATTAAAAAATAAAAACGACAACAAACGCACACAGAGTATAATCTTGGAGAAAATGTATATAGGGTTTTTTTTATGAAAATAATTGACAGTGGTCGCGTTCAACGGGTAAAAGCGGAATTTGCGATGCGTATAGTCTGTTTGTAAACACATAAATCCCGCACATAGGTAGATACAATATATGTATGTATATATATATATATATATATGTATATAAGCTATAAGCCATTGCGCACGTGAGTATGTCTGTGGCGGTTTGAATCGAGTCGGTCAGACTTTCTTGGCCGACGAGGCACGTTGCAAATTTGTCGGTTCCAGAATGGTCTGGAAATAAAAAATACTAGATTACAATTTCAGAGAAAGTAAAAAAAAAATGAACATTGTCGTCATCGCCGCGGAAGGAAAACGGTAAATTAGTATAGATTTTGTTTCCCTTCAGTATAATATCGTATTACACTCGGCGTAAACGTATGTGTAATGATGTCTCCGGGCGACGAAAGTGAGGTGTAGGTACAATTTATAATATTATTATTATCATCGAAACGGGAAGAAACCGTTGGGAATATAATTTAACGTTGTATGCGCGAATTTCGGGTTTTTCATAGAATATTTCCGAGTGAAATGCCAAATAATAAGACATAATATAAGTAAAAAGTTTTTTGAAAATTATCTTTTTGACTATTATTTACACAACAATAATATGAGCTAATTTTATAAGAAAATATTTGTTGCCCGTTTTCCTTGTCACTCCTCAATATACACGGTGTAATATATATATTTATTATTTTTGGTGTGGGACGCAGAGGGTTAGAAATGAAATCTAAGTAGAAAATTGCTATTATCTCCGCTGCGCACATAAACATTGAACTATGAGCAGTGTACTGCGATTTATGTAGAAAATGGAAACCTCACCCAATCGGTCCTGATCTTACCTAAACCTAACTAGTAGCTCATCGACTGTCTCTTACCAGCATCCGTAATCAGCTGTTTCTTATCACTAGATTTTTATCAATAATTTGTTATCTGCTTTCTCTTATCAGCATCCGTAATCAGCTATTTCTTATCACTTTTGGAAATATCTAACCCCCTCCAACTAACTCATCCGTAATCCTTTGCTCATCTATAGAGTCATTTATTCCGTGGCGTGACACGTGACGTGACGTTAATTATGGAATGGCCCCCAGCCCAAAAAAGTATCCATATTCTTATTATCCTATTGCTGACATAACATTATGGCGTAAATTTTGATATGTGTAAGTATTGGCTGCAGGCGACTCTCGCATGATGAACGCCTGACCCTTTTTTCTAAATTTGCGATCGAGTCGTTGAAGTCATCGGTCGTAACACTGTTGCACGGATCATAATATTATTATGTCACGCGGGCCTCAATGCGAGGTCGAACAACTGTAAAATATTTGTTGTCAATGCACAACGCTCGTACGTCGATCGAATGCATATTTATTATATTTAGCGTGAAGGTTACCTAAGTGAAGAAGATCAAGATAAAGAAAATATGAACTTTCGCAGTTTCCATCTCGGTTTTCAGATTTTTTACAACCAGACCAATTGCCAGGAATCGGAATTGAAGGACATTTTTCAGAAGATTTTAACATTAACGTTCAGGGTATATTTGACTTGACACTATTTAATAACATTATTCAAACTGCGTCGACTCTTGGGTATAATGTCCTGTGTTAATTTTCAATAATTTCTTAGCTCAGCTCTATCACAATTGCACCAATGATTTGTGTACTCTGTGTAGTTATTGGTTTTTTGAGTGTTTAACGATTATTATAATAACATCGTGATTTATGTTTTCAGGGCGGAATCAAACTCCAAGTATTGGACAACTACCAGAGGCCAGTGTTGGATTTGACCCCAGTCACGAAAGATACTGAGTTCTTGAGGACAGACGCGACGTAAGTGATATGATTGCTAACAATTAATATAGTGTATTGAGAAATAGGCTTTATTAAAATTTGTACAGGGTAATTTTTAACTTAAAATCATTGCTACATAAGGTAATATAACAGTGATGAGAATGGTAGTCGATTATTGACTTGCGCTATAGGGACTCGCTGCAAAACCTATTCCGTTATGTAATTCCAAAAGGATTTTGGATGTTGTTGTTTTTTGCGATGTAGGGCTGGTACAAGTCAATAAATCTTGATAAACATACCTGGTTTCCTCGTGAACTTCACGTCAATAACTCCCATGATAGATAGCGTAATATATCATCATGATCTACAAATACAACACATTACTATATGTATATTCACCTCCTACAATGGGCGTTGTTGCGACTTATTCACATTCTCGACATCTTAGTTATTGTGTAATAATGAATAATTAGTCATCCGGGAACAACGTTTATTCACGGTGTTTACAAACTATGATCTCTGTCGGCAAACACGCAGCCGGCATCTGCTAACTAGTCAGACTACTACTACCGGTCGTACATATCCAAGGTCGTACTTAAGCAAAAAAAAAAAAAAATGGTTCATTTTTAAAATATGTTGTATTGTAAAGACGAGGTGGTAGCAACAGTATTATTGTATATTGCAATCTTTAAAAAAAGAAAAATAGGAAACTATTGATTTAATTGCTTAATTATAAATATAATAAGTATTTTTGATGTTCTCAATATGAACAAAAAAAAATTAGAATATTAAAAAATCATCATAGTATGTACTGTACCTCTATGTTTAGTTTCAAGTAATGATAACTCATTTTTATCGTTCTACTTGTAGCGTTTGTCTGGAGGTCTATTTTTTTTTTTGTACTCTTTGAATAATTAGAAGATCAGATTGGCTTTGCCGCCGACGCTGATCGGATGAGTCGACAGTGTTGGCCAAGAAACAATTTATTAGTTTTCTATCCGAAAACTGCGTTATTCGATTTTGGGATTGATCCGAAACGGAACATGTACGTGATCTCACGGTATAAATAATTATCCTTACGGTTCTTTGTCAACACGATAAACACATACCACGTGGGCTATACGGTTTTTTATTTTCTCAAGACGTCTTGGCACATCAGTGTTTTTGCCACAGACGTCTTATGATAATAATTAATATTTGTACGATTATTATTATTATTATACAACCCGTGAATTTCGAATATACATAATAATAACGTGTATTTAAAGTGCGTTTAAGATGGTCATAATAATTACATGTGTGTGTGTGTGTGTAAAAGCGGTCGTTGTCGAGAGCTTGTTTAGAAAGTAGACGTTCCGCACCGACGTCGATCTCTTCTGCTCGTTTGATACGAGAGTTAGTAATAATGATAAGACGGACAAAAAAAAAAAAAAAAATTAAATTAACGCCAAGACAGTGGGAATTCGTATCCTCCGGCTGTTTTGCACACGAGCCCGTTTCGTTCGTATTATGAAATCGAGGTGTATATTTTATTAAAATAATATCATCAATGGGAAAACTTGTGCGAACAAACCCCATTTATGGTACACGATTAAAATCCAATAAATGGCACGCTGTCAATCGAATCAATATTGAAAAATGAACACACGATGCAACTCGAGAACAAACAACAACTTCTCAAGTAAAACAAAATGGGTCAAGTGAGGAGGCAGTCGTTAACAAAGTACACAAGTTTCGAAAACGTTCTAAACATTTGTATTTTGTTGTTTTATCATTTAACTACATATCCGAGGGCTACAATTTAATGGCTACGGTTGTAATAGTCATTTAAAATTAAGTATTCAAGTAGAATTACAGTAATGGATTCATCGAGTAAAATTTGAATGTATAGCAAATGTGTATACTTACATTTTAAAGCGACAAATCAAACTAAGACCGATAAAATTGTATATGACAGTGTGAAAACAATGTGAGATTTTAAAAACGACAATTAATCAACATAATCTCTAAGTATTATCAAAACCAAAACATATGGTTACCACCAAAAAATACATCTTAACTGTCATTATCACTAATAACTCTGATTTCCTTGAATGTTTTTATTTGCCCCTATTCATTAATTATTACCCCACTGTATTTTTCAACAGAATTTAACTCGTCTACTTACGAAACAATTTTTATCAAAAAATCCTGCGCCACACTTCCCACACAATACCAAAAAGTATTCATGTTTTCGAAAATAAAATGTCTTGAATTCGTTTATAAATTTAGTTTTGCGAGGAGATTAAGTATATCAAAATTATTATTTACTAAATGCTGGTAAAATATTGTAAAACTCTATTATAGATCGAATTACACATGACTTATTGAGATTTGATTATAATATCATCCCTTATCAATTATCACATTTCGTGATAACCAATGAGAACGTTGGAATCAAGGTAACCGCTTTGGTAACCCAACTAACATTTTGTTAACATTATGTTAGGAATGTATTTAATAATAGTTGGTGAAACTGGCTGAATACATTTTAAATCGCATAACCATTCGTATACAGCTACTAGTCGATTGGGTGTGAATTAAAACGAAAATTCGGATCAAAACAAAAACTCAAAGTTCTAGTTTTGAACAAAATTAATTATAATATTTTTTTACGAAATAAAAATGAAACGTCGAATGCTAAAAAAACTATATCACGTTTCCATAAGAAGTAAATATTTTTATCTTAAAAAAAAATCGACTAATAACCGTTATTATACACTCAGATATAACATTTTTTTTTTTACTTTTACTTTTTGTGATTTTTTAATAATATAGGCGACAAGTTGTTTATTTTTTTATGGTTCATTACACTAACTGAACGGTTGTGATGTAAAAATGTACCGCGTGTATCGCACAGCAGTCGCCACACGGTTAGCTGTTCTACTACAACAACTGCGATTGCAGCGCAATAGTGAAATTTAATTTTTATACTGTTATGATTCACAAGCGCTGCGTAGATCGTAAGTCTTTATAAATTATTCAACTCACGGGGCACTCGAAGAATTTTTTTTTCGAGCCCCTGGCTCGCAATCGATTAGAGAAAGAAAATTTAGCGACCGAATAAAATGATAAGAGAAATGTTTGTGATAAGAAAAGCGATCTATGAAGATGAATCAGCTGATAACATATTTGATAAGAAATGGCGAGAGTCAGGACACAGAGTAGATTATTAAATCGGAGAAGACACTTAAGGTAATAAAACATTTTCAGATGGAGACCATCTTCTCGTTTATCCTATATTTATACACACTCAATGTAGGTATAGAAATATAACTACTATATTGATTGATAAATGAGAAGATGGCCGCTACGTTTTGAAATGTAGATACAAAAAGTGTCAGTAAAAACTATGTTACATTTTGAGAGTATCCACCCTCTGGTCAGGTGCTGTATATTGATCAGAAAATCAACTGATAAGAGCTTTGAGCCGTCCAATAAGATTAAAACTTTTTTTCTTATTGAATAAAGCGCCAAAAGAAATAGGTATGAAATGTCAACAAAATATCGTTACAATACCAAACTTTAAAAAGCTTTCCGTCAGACATGGAGCGAATTAATCGACTTATATGTTTCTGTATTTATTATCACAGCCGACTATCGTTATCATCAGAATAATAAACATGAACTTTGGACTAGCGCAGTTTTTTTTATTGTAACTGCACTGCAACCATCGACAATATTATGTGATCGAGTTGTGTCCATATTGAAATCAATGTTTGTATTGTATATTATTATAATAATAATAATAATTACTATTCTATCGGTAAAGGTACATGGCCTGTGCGTAGGTATCATAATACGCCTCGCCTCCTTCAAATTGTAGGCATAGCATGGCATAACATTGTCACACTTTACAATGCTGTACAATATAATAAATCGCATGGTGTTTTTTTTTCTCACCAGTCATATTTTTTTAATCTTTTGATTGACACGATTTTTTTACGGCCGAGTAGTTAGAAAAAAAAAATATACACACAGTACAAAATAAACCAAAAAGTAATATACGGTCCGCACGTTATCACATACCGATTGACATTGCACATACAAAACGAGTACTTTCTTTGTCGCAATATATTTTTGTACACACACACACACTCACCTAATACGTTATAATACCTTTGATTTATATTATTACATTTACAATTATAAATTAAAAACGGGAGGAACGCGATAATCACAACGTTTTTTTTTTGGGGGGGGGGGGGTCAAACGTGTTCGTTACCCTGTGTGCATGTACATAGTCTTTTCTCACACTGCGGTATCCATAGACAGTGCAAGACGGCCGAGTAAAAGATGTCAAGGCGAAATGGGCGCATTAAAAAAAAAAAAAAAAAAATGTATAAGTAGATAATATAGTTGTAATAATATTAATAACCTTAAAGCAACACGGTCGTTGTGCATACAACACTATGGGAAACTACTGTGCTGGCCAAACCGTGCGATAAACAACGATATTGCTTTCACATTGGCCTGGTATGACCGTGGTACCAACGCGGTTTACACCGCGGAGGCGATCAATGGAAACTCTAGAATACCTACTTCCTTTTAATCCTGTTTATATCGGCGATTTACAACGATTTATTTAAATCTCGTTTAGCATAATACTTAAAAAAAAAAAAAAAATCGTGTAACTAATGTCGAGACTGTAAAAAAGTACCTGCTAATAGTGGCCCACCTCTAAATCAGTTTAATTTATAATAAAACTGTTTACGATTAATTTGCATACTTTCGTTTAGGTAGAAATTATATTAATTACGGATAGGCCAACGTTTAGAAACTCCGCATTCGCGAACCCAGAAACAATATCTAATGTCGATGAAGGTGGTAATAATGTTTGCGGTTTTTAGCTGGCAATTGTTTGGTATAGTTGATTGAGTTACGCTCGAAAAAGTCGAGTAATTGGTTAACAGCGGCCGTTATACAAATTGTTGGTGCTAATTTTTAGAGTTCAGGAGTTGAAATTAAAAATAAATAAACCAGATAGTACATAAATTAAAATTGTATAACACAACGATATTTTGGCCAGAAATGTTATGTCATAAGTAATTTTTAAATATACAATTTTATTTCCAGCAGTTTTGGCACGATTGTTTTGATCTATTGCCTTTTTAAACATGTTTTTTTATCGAAGGAGATTGTATAATTTGGACGAAATTAACTTTCATCATTTTAATAATAATCGTACCCAACTTTAATCTTGCTTGTGCTGAAATCAAGGTAAATCATGGAATAAATGCGCTCGTATTATAAACTAATAATATTGTCGATTCGTTTTAATACCTTTAAAACCGTTGTTAGCCAATCGTTCGCCGTACACGAAACATTAATAATAATATGATTTTGGTGCTTAAAATGTGGTTTTAACGAGCTGGATTTGACTAATTGCGCAGGTCAACCTGCGATGGATGGTTAAACGGATAAAGAACTACTATCATTTTCCACTCTATCAGTGTGCTATTATGACAGGCGATTTATATGTATTATTTTAACGGCATTGACACGTGTAATGAAAAAAAAAAAAACGCATTATAATTTTCGACAGTTGTAAAACGATACCTTCGTGGATTCAACTAAGAACAGTCGAACATAATAACGACAATAAAAATTCACCTTGGACGCCGCTTCCACGCGGGTCAATCACAGAGTGGGTACAAAATATGTTTCGAATCACCGCCGGAATCGTGTCAATGTTGTTTTAAATAAATAGTAATTTTTTTCTCTCAAAATAATCAGCGATTAAAAAAAAAAAAAAATATACACTACTAACTGTTACCAAAAAAATTGTTTTTTTTTTTTCAAAAAAAAATTTGTTTTATAATAATTGCTCGACAGCATATGAACGGCGGCGGTAGGTTCTCACGGCATGTATAATAGATATTATGAAAAAATTCAAGCGAAGCACCCGTCGGGTATTGTATACGGTTTTCTGTGCACGATGACAGTTAATGCACTTTGTCACGAACGCCCTTGTTCCATATTTTCGACAACAATGTTCACTGTCGTCTAATAGATATATAATAATGTATAACGCGCCAAGCTTAATCGCCCGAAAATATTATGTACAGTCTATGTCTGTGCGATTTTGCAACCACGTGTTGTCGTTCCAAAGCCGGTCAAAAGTTTCGGTGTGACACGACAATTTTTTTGTTTCTTTTTACACACCCGCCGTTGTTGTCCAATCGCAATTATTCGCCTTACCAAGCCGACTGCGGTGAATGGTTTTTTTTAAGTGCAACACCAACGGCGGTTGTCTTTCCCGACTGTACAATTATGGTGCAGTGTTAGAGATGCATATTAGAGACGCACAAACTTAGGGCCCTGGTACTGCGGTATCGGTTAGGTTTTAATTAACCCAGCCGTTTTCCATTTTCCGAGAGAACCGTTCCGTCTTTTGTTCAACGAACGGTTTATTTAAACGGCAATAGATATATTATAATTATAGTCAATTCGGTATCGGCCGCAGGAAGTCGATGACATTTACCAGCATAGATTTTCTCACAGCAAAAACAGTTGTACTGTGTTGTGAGGTGTTTCGCTAAGAACTTGCCACTTTGTGTAATACCAGTTTTATTTAAAACACATCCGTACCGTTGAACCTATATGTACACGTATTAACGAAACAGTTATCCCTTTTCTAGTGTTTAAAAATACAAAATTTATTATAATAATAATAATAATAAAATATAAATAATATATCCACGCATTCCGGTCGTGTTTCCAACGAGAAAACACACTTCAAGCTGTATTATACGCTAACAGGCGCTTTACGATTAATTTTCGATCACGTCGATTACATTATATTTTATTTGGCGGATTAGCGCGGTCGTTGCATAAACGTCCCTCGGTGAATAAAGAAAAGCGAAAAAAAAGTAACAAACCAGTAGCTGTCGATTTCTAATAAACAATATATTTGCATATCAATGGTGGTCAACGGTCCTTCTGTCGACGGCTGTACGTACCGTTCACAGCATATCCTCCGATCAAATAGATTTCCCATTAGAGTTTTCCGTTGTGTGTATTTAATTGCGCGTGTCGATTAATTTCTATGTTATTTAATTGTTACATAACCCGACACACCGGCGATTGTACATGCAGACTTCGACAAAGTAATACGTCATGTGCATCTGTGTGGCAACCGACATGACGTACGTCTCTTCAATGTAGGAATTATATTATTCTGTGTATCCTATAGTTGTTTAACGACTTGTACGCGACCCGTGCGAACGGTTTTATAGGTTGTATGGAAACGAATTTCGATGCCACTGGCTTTCTGCACGTCACGCAATACTTAAAACGATCGTTTAAGTGTTCATCCAGAGTGATAGAATCCTCCCACCGTTATGATTAAAACCGCTAACTAAAAAAAAAAACTGCCCGGAATGTCTTAAGCACGAGAATCGATGGCATGATTGTACATGGTTGTACCGAAAATGGGGAACAAGGTTGACATGTCCTAAACGGTAGGAAATATAGGTTCGTTGGGAAAAATTTAATTAAATAACGAATAAAATCAAAAAACAAATCGAACAAAGTATTAATTGAAGTGATAAGTAACTTTTATACCATGAAAACAATAGTTACTACGTATTTTTTTTAGCGATGACCATAATTATGTACATTAGTTTTGTTCGGAAATTATTAAGACAAATCATTCAGGTAGCATGAACAAACATAATGTCATCAAAAACTTGTTTCTAAAAAAAAAACGTCACTTGTACTCTTCGTCGCTTCGCGTCACTTCAATTGAAATAAAAAGATAATATTTTATTCGAATAAAAATATGTGTTCGAGTTGACACTGAAAATACTCTACGTCCGTTCGACATAATATGAAACCAATTTTGTCAAGTGCTTATTTCAAAACTAGAGGTACTGAACACGCCCAAGCCCCTATAAATTGCGTTTACGCTGAAATAAGCATTCGTTGAAATAAAAAGAATTAAAAATATACCTATAGCTTAGTTTAGGGGTAATGTGAAAACGCATAATTGGCGAAACTGACCGTTTCTTAACGGTTTTGGTAAATATCCAAGACTAGTCGGGTAGGCCACCCCTAATAAATGGGAACAAAAAGTCGCAAGAAGAACATGACCGTCTTTAGTAGATTTTGCCGGTACGATTAGTTGCACAGAAAGTTTGACAGCATTCGTTACATCATAAGTTATTAGTTGTAGTCAACTTCGGGTGTTGTTATTATTCGTTTTGCAACGTCGTCCCTATCGCCGCACAGCGCATTTCCATTAGTTATTATAAGTGGCAATTTGTAGCGAAACCATCATTTACATTTCCATCGTCTCCGGTATTATAATATTGCCCAACTGCTGCGCGTAATGATGATGTTAGTCAATAATAATAACAGTACAATTATTTATTATCAACGTTTTTTTTTCTTTCTTTTGCACAGGGCCCAATCGTACACCGTGCAGTTGCCCGGCGATTTCGTTTGCGAAGATTGCACCATCAGGCTGCTGCGCGAGGCCTTGGAATGGGGAAACAGCTACAAGTTTTGGTCTTGTGCGGACGTCGACATCAAAAACAGTGAGTTATTATAGTTATTGAAAACGGTTAGATTTATGCATTGCCAATGGGTTTGTTATGTCACACGACCGCGGCCATAGTTGTGCGGTTAAGAAGATTCCATCGGCATGACCTTCCGACAGTCGTGCGGAATAGTCTGCGGGGAATCTACAAATCACACGTGTCGTAAACGACTTGTAAAATGGCTGTTGGAATATTCTCGGATGGCGGTTTTCAAAATATGAAGTCCTATGCTAGGGGTTGGAGAACGTGAGCTCACATCATCATCAAGAAGCCCGTATGAGTACCTAAAAAGATGTTAAAATTTGTTTGGTAGACACTTTGTAAAGCGACTTCGCTTTTAGGTAATTGTTTCTGTAAAATTGCGAACGATGTGAACGTACCTTTGGTAATATTCTAATCCAAAAAGTTCTCGTGAGGCGATTGCCACAGGTAACATCAGCTGTGCAATTCGTTGTGTTTTCACGCCTATAATAGTTTCCACTAAAATGCTAATTAGTTATTGTTATTGTTGTTCATTCGATTTCATAACCTTAGCCGAGTAGTTGCAACAGTATTATAATTAATATCGCGTACACAAGCACGTTGGTCATGTGTGTGTGTGTGTGTGATACTAGCAAAATAAAATAGGATATTTCCAACCGACATCCATGCAATTGTTTTCGGCGCAATGCTATCATCTGTTGTTGTTTTCAGAGAAAGCCTACCGGGAGGACTGCAGCGGCAAAGGACGTTACCTGTTGTCGAAATGCCGGTGCGACAGGTTGTACTACGGATCCAGGTGTCAGTACAAAGACGAATGCTTGGAAGACAGCGACTGCGGTGATCAAGGGAGATGCATAGACGTTCACGCCACTTCAGCCCCGAAAAAGCAGTGCTATTGCGAACCCGGTTGGTTCGGTCCGGCTTGCACCAAACGTGAGTACAATTCGGCTATGACAAGACCTGGTCGTACGGACTTGGTCCGTTGCAAAGATACGGTCCTCGGTAGTTGAGGGGTTCGACTAAATCCGATCGAACCTGTCGAAAAACTCCTCTCTTGTATGGTTGGCTATTCTTCCCTTCCGGGACAGGTGATAAATTTGTGAGATAAATCCCCCGTTTAGGCATTAGACGTTTTCGCTAGGTTTCTTCGACCGAATGCAAGACGTATACAGACGCGCGTTTCTAATGGGCGACCCGCACACGACATGTCGTATTATGTCGATACGAGCATGTAATATCATAATATTATTATTACCTTCGAGAAATGCGCGTTGTTATTATTATTATCATATTTGCGCAACATGTAAATTGTGTCCATTGTTGTACGTTTTCGGAGGCAACGTAAAGACGATTTACTCGATGCCTATCGGTATTGCTATTGCACGCACGTTTTCTGTTTGCTCGGTGAAAGCAAAAATAATTTTCAATGGCCAATAAAACGGTCGATTGTATAATAATAATAATATGTTGAAAATAAAAAATCAAAAAATCACCAATAATTTCCATACTCAAACGAAATCCGTATGATTGCATTTGCAGGGTCGGCTCTGAAATCGAACGACATCGATTTGAGCAACCATCGGTTCAGAGAGCTGTCGAAGGACTTCCACATGTATTGGAAAGTGTTCAAAGAAGAGGGCGAAATCGAGGTGGTGCTCAGAGCTAACGGCACTAGTTACTTGGGTTTGGGATGGCGTCCAAAAGATTTGACGGCGGATTGTAAGAACTTCCCGGAGTTGGCAGATTTGCCGGGCGCGAAAGCAGTGGCTGCGGCACCTAAGCCGGAACCGGAACCCAAGAGTGAACCGGAACCCAAGAGCGAGCCGGAACCCAAAAGTGAGCCGGAACCCAAAAGCGAACCGGAACCCAAAACTGAACCGGAACCCAAGACCGCTCCGGAACCCAAGAGCGAACCAGAACCCAAAAGTGAACCGGAACCCAAGACCGAGCCGGAACCCAAGACCGAGCCGGAACCCAAGAGCGAGCCGGAACCCAAGAGCGAGCCGGAACCCAAGAGCGAGCCGGAACCCAAGAGCGAGCCGGAACCCAAGAGCGAGCCGGAACCCAAGAGCGAGCCGGAACCGAAGAGCAAACCAGAACCGAAAACAGGAACTACACCTAAAACTACTCCGGAGCCCAGCAGTAAGCCTGAACCGGAACCGGAGCCCAGTGTGGAACCATCTCCTGAACCGACTAAACCGTCTTCGACCACGACGACTACGGTTGCCAGTTCTACAAGACCAAAACCGTCGTTTTTCCGTACCAGAGGTCGATCGCCTAAACCGAAAACTACCGAAGAAGCAACCACAGTAGCATCTTCCGTCACACCTCTGAGGCACACCAACGCGAGACCGGGTATGTAGGAGTTTACTAAAATTGTGTTTTTAAATTTACTCGTACTTGTGTTTCATGTTGTCGTGTGTATCGTTTATTTTCAGCGTTCGCACAGTTGAGAAACAAGAGATCCACTCCTAATGGTAAGTTTTTACCTTTTTTTTTTTTTATTAACACCGCCCACACTACTAATTTCAATCGTTTAGAGCCTCGACCTGAAACCGAGCCGGAACCGAAATCCGAACCCGAACCCGAATCGAAACCCAGCGAACACGAAGGCCACGATCGTCATGATCATTCTTCCTCGCATCACGATCATCACGATCATCATCATCACCATCATCATGATCACCAGCACGGCGAAGCGCCTTCAAAGAAAGGTAAACGCGCTTTGTATATTTCGTGCATTCGGTCATTTAGACCATTTTGACTACGATTGGGGACGAGCCGTCACGTATTATTCATCTACCGCACCAGCGATTCTGATAAAATATTTCCGTTTTTAGACATCAAGCTTAACGCGTACACGCCAAAGGGAGATTTCAACGGGATGGACTGCACCGACTTGGTCATCGGAACCGCTCGCGGATCAGCTAGCAGAGTGTGGGATTATTACACAAGGGACAGGTACGCGTGGACGGTTTAATGGTTGATTCTCGTTTTGAACACGCACGTTATAATATTGTAAACACCGCGTTGTTCGTGATATTAGGTCCACGCCTCGTGTCGACAGTTATTGGGGCGGAAAGAACGACCTTACAGCCGCTGTCGGATTCGAAAAAGACGGCGTTACGACAATCGCGTTCAGAAAGAAACTGAAAGGTCGGTATTCGACCAAACGCTGAACAAACGTGTAGTACTGTGCTATTTATTTTATTTTGGAATGCTAATCAATTCCCCCTTTTTGTTTCCCGTCACAGCCACCGAACTCACCGACCATTCGATCGTCGACGACTTGATGCACGTCATTTGGGCCAAAGGCCAAGAACACAAACACTATCAACACTCGCCCAAGTCGGGATTGGAAAAAGACGTTGCTCTGGTCAAGGACTTCTACAAACAGGACGATCTTAAGTACCACGGCCACGGATCACAACGTGGAGTGATTTCCATCAACTTTTTCGGTAAGCATATGGCATATTAGCATATGGCCCAAATAATTTACAAACCGACTTACTTAGATTTTAATAATACTTATAAGCAAACTGTTTAATTTTTGTATACAAAATAATAAACTAATTTAAAACGGTGAAATTTTAGAATTTTGAAAACGAGTGTTGTATTTGATACTCTGTTTTATTTTAATAAAAAAAAATATATATATATAATATCAAAATTTAAAAAACTTAATTAAATAATTATTATTCAATAATTCGATTGTAGTCAGTCAAACAATGCTCAACCGTGTTAAAAAAATGGCAAAAATTATTGATATAATATTTTATTAAAAAAAGTAATTATGATTTAATTTCACTCGTGGAATTTCTCCGTTACAATATCATAGTTTTGAGTTTCTAGAGATAGTGAAAAGATAAAAAAAAAATATGTTTTCAAAAGGGTACAAGTGGTTTTCATTAAATTTTAAAGGACAGCAAAATAAAACTAATACTTTTAGTGTGTTTTTTTACGGGTCAGGCATGTTCCATAATATTTTCATAATTGACGACGAATAGTGAAATAAATAAGTACAGATTAAAAAAAAATATTTCGTTGGATATGAAAAACTTGTTTATGAAAAAAAATCCCATTGCTGTTCTGGTTTTCACCATTTCAAGTAAAATCGTTTACTGCCAACGATAAATGATTATTATGTAATAACATCAAACGTTTTTCGATAGTCACGGATGTTAATTATTGTTTATTACTCATCTATGACTATAATGACGTTATTATTTTAATAATACGAAATAACACGTATGTAACCGGTTTTGCATCGGCTGAATCGTCTCAAACAATACACTATTGTAGTAGTAGTGACGTTATGTGCCCCATCCTCGTACTACAGTAATGCAATTTTGTTATTGTCGTGTGATACGTAACTTATTTTACAACACTACCTTGTACGATTGTCCGCAACCAAGTTGTTCTCGGTTGGAAAGTTCTTCTACTCGCGGTGGTGGTTAACTTTTGGACTATGATAAAATGTTAGGTCTTTTGTTTTTTTTGTTTACACTTTCACCGTGCCGTCATTGTTACATTGTTATCACACTTTCGACGTTTGTCTCGCCCAGATGAACCCGAACAACAGCAACAGGCGGTCAGCGTGCTACAGGGCGCCGCGAATGACGCGGACGGCGGAGACCCTATGGCCCGCGGCAAGTCGCCCGACCAACAAACCGCGGTCACGTCGACCCCGGCGCCCAGCAACTGCTACGGCCAGTGGTCCACGCCCAAAGGCTGTGACGTCGCCGCCGGCCAGTGCGAATACCACGCCGTCTGGACGTACTCGTCGAGAACCGATTACATACGGTTCACCATATCGACCACCCACACGACCACCTGGACCGGAATAGGATTTTCGGACGACCACAAAATGGTAAGCGCAAGACGTTTCCGCCGTCCACACGATTCACCCGACAGAAAACGTACAATATGGATAATCGACACGAATGATAAGAGATAAGAGATAATGAATTGTGATAAGAGATAAGCAGTAGCGATGAGAAGAGGTCACATCGGCCTATGCGTACATGTATTAAACCGACTAGATAGCCGATTCGGCGTTAACGTCTCACGAGAGCCATACGTTTGGTAGCCATCTACAAAGAGGACAAATCGTACTCAATTATTCCATAAATGGTATTGTGATAACAGCCAAACAGTGATATTGAGTGTTATTGATTATCGTTGTTTTGATGTTGTTATCTGTTATCACTTCATATGGCATAATGAATACAATTTCGCCCGTTTAGTATATGGCTGCCGAATTTCAGATATTATACTCATCGAGTCGGTTATCTAGTTGTAGTGTTGACCCGGTCCAATATCCAAGGTAATTTAGGTAACCAATAGGCAATAGTAGGTACCGGGTACGGCAAAGGTAGAAATGTCAAGAGAAATAACGACCAGAAGAAAATATGATATTGAAAGTGCTTAAAATGAGGACTTGGTTTTCTTAAGCATATTGAAATTATCATGTTTTGTCCTCGATTTCCGTCTCGACCCTTTTTCGACACCCTTTTGAACACATTACTTTTGAATATAAGACATGTTCCCTGTGTAATTATCTCGAGGCCAGCGAACTTAACACTATTACACTCGGTCTGGCAAAACCGAGTTAAATTTGAAATTGTACTATGTTATTACTCGACAGTAGTGGTATGGGCAGACAAACACAATAATTATTATAAACATACCGCGAGGTCGGAACGATTTGGATCACGAATCTGTACAGTTTTTTGAACAGCCCATGGCCTCGTGGTCGTGTTAGACCTATTTTTGTGATCCGTTCGCGTTTCGCAATCGACAGTTTGGCTATTGCTGTGATTTTGTTAATAAACGCATAAGGCATACGTATTGTCTTTAGCGCATTTTCGTTTGACATTCACTCTTATTGATCCTATTGGTTATCTAAATTAGTACCCATTAAAAATAGCAACCCAAGACCTACCCAGTACTGCACAGTGCTCCGTGATCACTATGTTAAGTGTAGTGTTAATGTTTAATACTTACAGAGTCAGACCGACGCCGTGATCGGATGGGTGGACAAGGCCGGCCGGCCGTTCCTGATGGACACTTGGATCAACGGGTACACGGCACCGTTACTGGACGCTTCTCAGGACTTGAGCAACATCACCGGTAACACGGTGGACGGGGTTTCCACTTTGAGTTTCATGAGGAAGAGATCTACCGGCGACACCAAAGTAATTTGAAATTTATTATTTCGGACACTGATCGACGAACGTATGTCCATTTATAATATCGTATCGTTCTTTTCGTAGGACATGATGTTCTCCGACGACAGGTGCCTGTACTTGACGTTCATCGTGAAAGGCGGCGGTTACAATTCGGTAAACAAGAAGATCAAGAAGCACGAAACGGTTCCGGTATTCTCCAACGATAGAATATGTATACGGTCTTGTGGAGCAGGTAAGCATCCGCCGCCTTCTGTACACCAAACAAAACGTTCGTGTTTTGCGGTTTAATTTAAAAAAAATTGTAATTCCGTGTGTTCTTTCAGAAGAAGACTGGGAATCGGCCATGACCACGACCGCCCCGAAGGCGGCATTTAACGTGGCCGTCAAGCTGGTAAAACTGGGCGAAAACTTTGTTGTACCCACCGCGGGCAGTGCGGACTTCGACGCCCTGGCCAATACCGTGACGACCGGGTTCAAAAAGTCCCTTACCAAGTTGCCGGAATTCTATAAGATCAGCGTAAATGAGTTCTCGCAGTAAGTCGACAGGTTTTATTTAATACCGTTCTTCTTTTTTCGTTCAGACATTCGCTTAATGTGCTACACTCTCGAAAACAGTCTGTTGTTGTTTTTTCCCCCGCGAAAAATATAGGCTACTCTAAATGTAAAGATGTTTTACGATTTTCAACAAATCGCATCGAGGTTAAATTTTATAAACGACGAATCAGAACTCTTTTATTCTTATCACTACCATATTTGTTATCAGCTGATAACATATACGGTTACTGATAACAAGCTGATAGTATACGATGGCGTTTGACTGATAACTTCAAAACTTTTTTGACCGATTTTTCTTGTTTTCTACGCAGAGAAAACGATAACGTAGTGGCCAAAATGAACGTGGAGTTGGACGAGAGCGGTGGCGGATCTCGCGGACGCGCTTTGAGCACTGAAGAAGGCGCCGAACAGCTGGAACGTGTGCTCAGAGATACCGTCAACAGCGGTCGAGTGGGCGCCTTGTCTTTGGACCCCAAGTACTTCGTTTTCGAAGCTGCTCCACGTGAGTACCGCCAAAAAACACCACGACCTTAAACCGGTCCGGTTAAGGATGTTGGTCGACAAATTTCGGAGAGGTGTCAAACCAATTTGATATTTTTCAGTTTCTAACACCATACCGTTGGAGGACAATCCCAACGACGGTCTCTTGCTGTCCTCGACGAAACTGTGGATCGTCATCGGCTGCATTTCGGCTTTGGTGTTCATCGCCATCGTGCAAGCCGGTTGCACCATTTACAAAACGGCCAGGAGACCTAGGCCCAACCATAAGGTGACTATATAAGATAAGATAACCGCGACAATTGTCGAGCAACTAGTTACACACCTAGACGCAAACAACGTTGTAGTTTTTTCGAATAACGACGGCTTCCGTAGAGCTTTGTAGCTTTCAATCGTTATTTTATCGTTAAGCTTTTTTTTGTGTGTTATGTTCGTCATGGCGAGCTTGTAATCTTATGCCTAACTGTATTGTAGCTGGTCTATTCGGTCCCGACCGGAGTTCAGGCCGGGTACCGGCCGCCTGTCGACCCCTACATGTACAACACCGGCCACTGGGCGCCTATCCGAGCAGAGCGTACCACCACCACACATCGTTACTAAACAAAATCAAAAAAAAAAAATATATATATATATATTTATATATACATAATATATTGTATCAAAAAAAAAAAAAAAAATTTAAAAAAAAACACATACCGATAAAAATCAAAAATATAACGCATATAGTAATAATATTACCTGGTGAGTTCGATCAATACTTCTTCTTCTTCTTTGTCACTGTCGCTAAATACGAATACGTTTCTGTGATCTTAGCTATACTTCTTACAAACTTTTTTGTTTCATTTAATGCTGCATTCGAATATTAATAACCGATAGTTTTTCCTATATATTATATAGTATACATGATGAATGCAAAAATATTGCCCCCCCGCCGATTAAAAATTAAAAAAAATTAATTTTATTTGTTAATCTCGCTTCCTTAACACTTGGCTACATGGAATTTTCGTTAACGAGCTGGGTTGATATTACACTTGAAGACATAAAAAAAAAAACATACACCTCACTTAATTTTTCGTGCGCATTTTTTTTTTTTACTATTTTCATAATATCATTTCCACATCAATTTTTCAAGCTTTCGCCATTTTATACATTTACAACGCATGTCATCTAACAATTAAACGCATATATTGAAATATATTTCCTGGTGGTGGTTGCATTGTTATTATGCATTGACTAAACGGACTGTGCTGTTTTTTTGTATTGTAAAATTGATTTAAAATGTTTGTGCTTTGCACGATATTAGAATTTTGAAAAAACAATAATATCAGAGCACAGTTGGTTTGCAGAGTGTTAACCGGATAACCGGCATAACTTGAAAAAATATTTCAGGACTTTGAATCCCTTTGAGATTTATGCTTTCCAAATTCTTCGCTTATCAGCTACAATGGCTGCAACTTAAACGTCAATTTTTTTTTTGCATATTATTATATTATGTAGTTTAATCAACCCACCCTCCCCCGTTCATCTTTTAGACGAGCAGTTTATGTGTGGTGGGGTCGAAAAACATAAATATCACTGTTTTGATTTGTAAGAGCCTTTCGTTATAGAAGATATCAATGAACGGTTTATTTTTTGCTTTACATACTTATGATTGGGTAACCATTGATATAGTAAAATTGAAAAACAAATAGGTGTCTATCATTGCTGTTGGCATCGCCTCAGGGTTGGTTCAACAACGGTGTAGCTTACAATTTAAATATCACATGAATTTTTCATTTTAAGCTCATAAACGAAACACGTAGCAATACATTGTTGATTTATATCGTTACTGTTCGATTGTATCAATGTTTTTTTTTTTGTATCAAATTATTCTTGACACATGTCGACCATCTATTTTTTTTTTTTTTAACAAATAGTTTGAAAGTCCTCTATTCGTTTTCAAAGTCTTGCCGTTTATTCGGGACCAAAATCTCTTTGTGCATAACATACTTGGCTTATGATCTATCTGCGGTTTTTTTTTATATTTTTTTAATACTTTGTACCCATGTAATAGTTTTTTTTTTTCTCTACAATTCCAATCTCAGGAACACGGAGGCAATTCCGCCTGGAAGGATTACTCGGCTGGAGGCGGAGGCGGCGTCGGCGGCGCCAACACCAATTACGCGTTCGACCAGTACGACGGCGACGAAAAGGTGTCGCCCAGCTCGCTCAGTCACACGTCCACCATTCCGTTGACTACCAAACTGGTGACGCACGGTGGCGGCGGCGGCGGCGGCGGCAACGGCAACGGTAACCATTACGCCGAGTCGAGATCCTTGCACAGGCCCGCGCAGGCCAACGGGCGGCACATGCACGGCCGCCCGCCGCCGCCGCCCAGCTCGCACCACGACCGCGCGGCCGGCACGTATTCGCTGCCCAGGCCGGTGCAACAGCCGCCGCAGCACAACGGCTATTACACGCACAGGCCGCCCAACAGGACTGCCGGTGGCGGCGGCGGCGGCGGGCCACGGACAGCAGTCCGACCAGCTGCAGCCCGACTTCTACTTCATGCCGTCGCAGAGGAAGTACTCCGGCGAAGTTGTCAGGGTGTACGTGGACTATAATACCAACCCTAGAAAATAAACAATAATAATTATATAATTAAATCCAAATAATATTATATATATATATATAGTATATAATAATATTATCGTTCGTTTATAAGCAAACGAAAATATTATAATACCTATATATATTTTTGTTTGTACATAAGTAGATTTTTTCTTATAATTTATATAGACATTTATTTTCATAAGAGACTCTATAAAAAAACAGCTACTTAAAAAACTTGACATTTTTATACAGAAAACGAAACACCCAACCTAGAGCTGCTTCTTACACTTCTTAGCCTGGGCCTGGAGTCCGAAATTAAATTGTACATTTTCCTTTCAAAAAAAAAAAAAGAAAAAAAATTGTCATGTATGATTGATGGGTTTTTTTTTTAATTTTTTGGGATTTTTCAAAATCTTTTCTTCTACATATCTTGTCAAATACTGTTTCATTAGCTTTTTTTTATTTTACATATACATATATTTTTTTGTATATTGTAAAAATTGGGCGGGACAGAAAATGCACATTTTGTTTTCAATCGTTTTTAAAACTATGGTAATTCAATGTGGTTTTGGAGGAGAAGACATATGGAATCAGGCCTGGTTCGCCTGGGCTCGGGTCCGTTTTTTCTCCATCTAGTTTCTTCTATATTCTTCTGTACATTGACGTTTTTTTGTTGTTCATTCGGTAATATAAAAACTTGATACGCGGTTTGTGCCATTGTTTAAAAAAAAAAAAAACACACGGATTGCCAAAGTCCGGGTTTGTGTTTTCCGTCCAGGAATTCTGTTAAAGGGTTGCAAAAACGAAAGACGTTTAAGTAATATACACACACACACACATATATATATATATATACAATATAATATATACATTTTTGTTTGTATTATGATTTTTCGTACAAAAACTTTAATATTATTTTGTAATAACAATTTTTTTTTTTTTTGTAATTATTATTCGTTTAGCCACTAAATCGACTGTATTATTATTATTATTTTTTATTTGATTTAGATTATGTAAAAATGCAATCTAGTATATAAAACGACCATCATCGTTATTCCAGTAGTATTATTAATATGTAAATATCAATGTTCATGTTAGTTGCGCGCACACTCGACGGCGATGGTAATAATAATATGAGTTTGTCGTTATTTATTTTAGAAAAATATCCCGTTTTGTTTATAATTATATATTATATATATATATATATTTTTTTTTTTTGGTTTATAGTGGCAGTTTTTTTAAACATTAACAAAACCTAGAAACCAAAATCTATGCCTAGAGTTGTTTAGAACATGATATAATATAATAATAGCGTCGTAGGTAATTGTAAGAATTCGGTTAAGTATGTTAGTAAACTATTTGCTCATTTAGAAGGACAAAAAAAAAAAAAGTGGTACTTAAGTATATTTTGCGTACAACGCTTTTCGCTTTTTGCTAAAGAATCATTTTTATTTAATCATAATTTTTCGCACGTATAAATCAGTGTAATAATTCGATTATTATTATTAATATTCATAAAACGTGCAAATGAACTATAGAAAAATATATAGTAAAAAATAAATACGTTACAAAACTATGTTGTATCGCAAAACATAATAAACTACTGGTTTTACTGGTATTGTAGTAATAATAATTATTCATTTGTTAACGTCCAATCAAATACGTTTGTAATAATATAAACATGTATACTTAAAACATATATTTTGTATCGCGTCGAATTTTTTATATTAATAATTATTATACGATTATTATTATTATTATTATTATTTTTAATTGTAATTTGTTATTTTGTGTAAACAAGTAGTGGCATTAAAAGTAAAATTTTGAAACAACAAGCGTGAACTCGTTTTTCAAATCTACATGCATAATATGTGTACTCTTTGTGCTGTGTCTGATAAATACAAAATAGCGACTCGGCTTAGAGACATTTATTTCTAAAGACAAATTCGATAGTGAACAAACACGGGTATGACGTTTTCATGTTTGCACAGGTGACACGGGCGACATTTTTTGTACCCAAATAAGACTGCTCGGTGTTCATTTCAGTAAGGTATAAGTACGAATCTGACTTAGACCGAAAATATAAGTAGTTAAACTGTGGGAAAAAAAAACAGTTTTGCAACACACGGATTGAAATTGAAAACCTGCAAGTAAGTACACAAAACGTGTTAAAAGAAAGAAAAAAAATACTGTGCAGACACACATTTGGATACAAAACATATCTGTCTGGGTCGGACTAGGTGTGTTTTGCATTGAAATAATTAACATTGAGCCGTTTCGTTTTAGACATCCATCTCAAATGACTAACAATAAGCTACCAGTGTTGTGTCTGTTTGTGTCGACTATTTGCATCGTTATGAATGATATAAAATGCGTAACGCGAGAAGGTACATTTGCCAATTTTGTTTACAAGTTTTTTAACCAATAACAATAATGTTGTGATATTATATGTATTACCATTTATACTTACCAGCGATTATTCTTTATAACGCTTTTAATGCAATTTACCCACATGAAGTTTGTCAACAGTTGTAATTGATATTACTTGTGGTGTGATTTTATATGCTACACAATTATGATATCAATTAAATGATTCCAGATTGCGCTGAACGCGTTTTTCGTACCAGTGAGTTTGTATTGAACTATTTTTTTTCCCTCACATGACCTTATAAGATTGATAAAATAATTTTTTTCGTCTTTCAATCCGTTCAATTTCTTCCTTTTCGCATTCATAACATATTCTAACCGAGACTGTAACTGGAAGCTTATGACCGTTTGTTAAATGAAATAAAATCTGTAATTTTTCAACGTTATTTTCTTTTAAAATTAATTTTTACTTCCTTCCACCTTATTGTATACTTTGTGCAGGCATTAGCCGCCTTATATCATATAACATTTTAAAATGTGTGTGGATCAAAGCTATTATTGTTTTCAATCATAATAGCCTGACAGACCTATAGGTACGCTTCGAGCTCACTGTATGGCGTGTTTTTGTTAATTATGTAAAATTCTTTTTGTGTTTAGACCATCTGATTTCGATTTTAAACAATGGTGAGTGAGTGTTTGTATAGTAAAACAATACGGTATAGTAATATAATTAAATACGAAAATAGAACATAGTCATACAAAGTCCAAATTCATTGACTTGAGTAATATGAAATGTATGTGTCACACGCTAAAATTGAACCAAATTTAAATTACAAAATAACTTACAATATAAAACATTATATGAAAAATGTATCAGGGACTTTGTTTTCAATAGGACCCACGCTGTTCTTTCTGGTCAAAAAATTAAAGATGTACAACGTTATTAAAAATTGTAGTTTAAGGTTCATCAGCCAAAGAAATCGTTCATACCGATTTTGTTTTTGTACGTTGATTTCAGATCAAAAACACGAGCTGGTAAAATATCTCATAGACGAATTGGAATATGGTATTTATTATTTGAATATTATTATTTTTTTTGTTTTTTACCAAAATCATGCAAAATAATCAATGCTTTTTGCGCCGTCGCAAACAAAAAGAATACATTTAATGGTCCCACGTGAATACTTGTGTACTAGTATTTTTTTAATAACAAATTTTTTAAAATTTTATTTCAGAGGAAATTATGGAATTTATTCACCCGCCAAGTAAACTATAATTAAAATTATATCGTTAATTTTATCGGGAAGTGGTTTTTTTTTTTTGGTTAGGTAATTGTGAGTCGTGGTTAGTCAAATTGTATGCAAATCATGTGTTTGTGTGTTTTGTAAATTGATTTTCTTCTAACTGATAAATTTGTAACAAAGCAAATTTTTGCTAAAACTAAAAATGTAGGTACATTAAAGTTTTGTTTTTGAATTTAATACTTCAATAAACGTGGCTTACATTGAACGGCAAAATACACAGGAGATGCGGCACCTCTTTAAGTATAACATTTTTTTTTAGATACTGAGTTGCTGCCAGGCAGAGATGTAGACGGTAATTTTTTTTAATAATAACTATATTAAGGAAGGATTTATTTTGTGGTTTTTAGCTTTAGAAACGCTAACAACTAAAATATATATAATAATTGAAAACCGGTTATCGGTGTCCAGTAATTATTTTTGCTCAAATGAGTTAGATTATTTTTAGCTTAATATTTACAGTGATAATAAATAGATAGGCGGTGAAATTTCAACGAATTTTTAATAAAATATAATGTTTTGATTCTAGATTCAATATATAGTATAATAATCGAAAATGAAATTAAAATACAACAGAAATTAATGCGGATCATAGGCAAGTTTTAATGTATTGTGTCAAATAGAAAACGGTAGTCAAGATTTGTATATAATGTTTTTAGACTTTTAAGCCACTAATATTATTTTATTGTTGATAAGTTTATTTTATAAACATTAAAATTAAATTACGGATTTTTTTTTAGTAGCTAAAACTTACAAGATAGCAAGCTATTTTTATCTCCCACCACTACTAACAACAATGTATACATTTGTTGTAAAATTAATTATTTTTTATACAGGGTCGGACCAATTTAATTACAATTTTAATGGTAAGTATAACATGTTATATTTTGCAATAAACAAATTACAATATAAAAACAAATAATACAGTAACTCGTTCAATCTTCAAATAACCAAAGAAAATGATAACAATAAAATTATTATTTTACTTAAAGTTTACTTACATTTGAGTTTTATATTTTGTTATTTTTTTATCCAGGATATTTTTTCCGATTACTATAATAGAAATTGTTGTCTATAATTTACAAAGTATAGCCCATAATATTAAAATTAAATTAAACATATTATTTAATATTTATTATCGTGATACCTATGCACGATATTATATAGTTCCAGGTTCCTATGACACAGAGATAACGACAAGAAGACGGCATTTAAGTTTAGCCTTCCTCAATATTCTCACAGAAAATATGAGTAAGCGTTTTTGTAAAACATTATATTGCTATATATTTTAAATGCTTAGAACAACACCATAATTGTGTACATTAGGTACATCGTTAACACCGAACCTTGGTACATACCAAGGTTCGCGTAATCTGTATGGAGGTTAACTAAAAATAACTTGAAAAAAAAACTTTTGAACAAACAGTACATTGTTATTTTCAAAATAAAATAGTCACAGTGTACTATTAAAGCCTAACGGCTAAAATTATAAAACATGGACCATGCTTTAGTCTGCTGGCTCTTGAACGATGATTATTTCCGATCTATAATCTCCTTGCGATAAACAATGATAGTATAGTCTTAATTTTATGTTTTTTAGTAGTTGGTTTTTTAATATTTGGCCTTAATATTTGGTTTATTGGCAACATTGACCCGGTCAGTTATTTTAGATAAACTTAACCATTCCTTCAATAATTGTGCTCGTTATTGAAAACAGTAAATATATTTCAACAAAATATACAGCTGTCACTCTGTTATCTAATAAGAGATAAGAGATTAGAGATAAGAGATTCCGATGAGGGATGGGGGTGAAGGAGGGTGGGAATGGGGTCGGAGCGGGGTTGGGGATGGTTTGCTCTGGCACATAACCAAAAAAAGGCGTTACACTGTTATCTGATAAGAGATTAGAGATAAGAGATATGTTGTGTATTCACAACGATCAAATTATAACTGAACAATAAATTCAATGTAATTTAACGGGTCACATTTCCAATGAATCGTTTGAGGCCAGATATTATGAAAACGCTAAAATATTAGCCAGAAACTCGATATGTTAAACTATCCACCTTAAATACAAGATTGTTAATATGCTATTTCATTGTCTATAATTCCACCGCTACTCTAAATTTTATTCGGTACTCCAAAGAGACACGAAAATGCTGAACTTTTTTTAGTTTTTTTATACTATTATTTTTTATCACAAGTTCGTTAGACAATTTTTTTTTTTTTTTTACCATTTAATTAAGTAGTGTCGTTATTGTCACAGAAAATGTTCAAATGTGCGTGAATAACGAAAAGTATAAATGCGTATTGGTCGGCTTAATCAGTCGCACGGCCGATTATCGGTTGAGAAATAAACCAGTGTGCAATGATAGCGGTACTTGCATCGTGACTTCGACAGAATGGATTACGGAACCGAACGTTTTATTTGACGACTTGACACCAGTGAAGAAGTCATACAGGGATCGTCTTTATGACACCAGTCAAGGATATTATGAGACATTATTGTACGACGAAGAGCGGCAACGATTTCACGTACCTTGGATATTAGAATATTGAATACCGGCCAAGAGGGATTGGAAGAATAAACAGCTCTTATTTGCATGTTTTATTAACTAAATGCTTCAATGTCAATAAAAGTATGTCAATCAATAATGTCATTGTACAGTTATATCATAATCTATTAAAATGCCTTGTTTGTCAACGAGAATTTCCTACTATCACTTGTCAGGCTGAAATCCTCCTAAAAGTTCTGTTTATTCTGGTGGGCGTAGAGAGTTAAAAAGTTAACCAATGGTTATTTTTACGGTACAGTCTAAGTTTTATGAGGTACAATTAAACATACAATTATTATATAGTGAAATCTTCCGTGTCTAAGTACAAATCAGACTTTTAGTTCCTGATTGTGTACCTAAATTTAGCTTTATGTCGAATTAGTTCTATTCTTTTACGTTTTTTTTTTGTCTAATTTGACTGGATATTAATAATAATTTTATTATTCACAATTTGTAGAATAATATAATGTTGTAAAGCGCGTTAAACAGATACGGCAGCTACAATAGTAAACTTGCTGGGAATTATTAAAATTCTAATTTTATACATTTATGTGATCCTAACCAATCCGATAAACTATCAAATCAATTAATTTGGGATCGTTTAATAATTCAAACGTCTGGTCGTTGTTTTGGGTTAAGCGTATTAAGTACAAATTCAGTACTAGCATTAAGTACTTTATGTTATCCATTGTTGATTTTGCTAGAAATAATTAGTCACATTTAATCAATACATCATGTAATAACATTATAATAATGTACTTTGTTCAAATTTTATTATTTCAATATCATTGTCAATTTTAATATTTTGTAACCTTTGAAACATTTTATTTAGACCTAAATTATCAACAAAAAAATACTATTATTATATATTTCATTTATTTAAGTGTTTTTCGTTCCGAAATTTTGGCATAGTCAAAACATAAATAGGCAAAATTATAAATGTAAACATTACACGGATGATTATAAAACTTATGACTAATAATGGAACATAGTCTGAGCTGTGCGTTGAAGTAATGTATAATCTCTATCAATCATATTATAAAAAAAATAAATAAATAAATAATCGACCAGCTGTGTAAATAAATGCACAATAAATATTCGGTGGAACATAAACCCATCCATAAGTCGCGAGAAGGAAATTTAGTTTCAAAAGCTGATCAAGTCGGTTATTGCCTAAGAAATTCTATCCGGTCAACAATTTTAGTAAGTCAAACTCTAAAAACTACAATAGAGTAGTGAAAAAAGTCAATGGTAAAGATTTTTTGTTTATTACCTATTTATTTGCAGATAAAAATGAAATTTTTCTGTTTTTTAATATCATTTGTCTTTGTAATTGTTTCGGCATTTGATGAAGGTAATTATTTCATTTTCACAATTACCAATTTTAAGATGGTCATAAATTTAAAGAAAAAAAAAATCAATACTATACTTTTTCCACAGCGGATTATAAGAAGGAAGTTTATATCACAAGTCAGTAACATAATTTTTGAATTTTAAAAAAGTGATTTTTAAGTTTTTTGAAATTCACTATTTTTATACATGTTTTTTTAATTATATAATATTACAGATGTAGCTATCGGGAGTGCTTGGAATTGTAAGATGTATAAAAAATTATTATGATAAATGTAAATGTTTTGTTATGTGTACCTTATAAGTTATTTGTAAATTAAACACTATAGTTTCTATCGATAGTGAAAAGTGCACCAGGTATGTAGAACCAGTGTACAGAGCACATTAATATTTAAAGTAGTGATTTATAATAACCAATCGAGGGAGTACCATATTGAGTTAAATGTCTACTGCTTAAATATTAAATCATGGTTTAATATTATTTTAAAGATTTATAAACGGTACCTAATTTGATTTTATTTCAATCTTTTAGTATAGCCCAAATGTTTATTTGTTTATTCTAGATGGATTGGAGCATGTAATTGAAACAATGGTTAATGATAACGATTCTTACAAGTGTTTCGGTAGTCATAATTATAATAATAATAACAATAATAATAGTAAAAAAAGATAAAAGTAGAAAAAACGTTTGAAAATATTATTAAAAAAAAATTGCAACTAAAATTTATCTTTATACATTTGTTAAGTGTATTATAAAATATATTAAATTGTTCTCCGAAATTTAAATGGAATCTTTATGAATGTTTAGCTCAGACATCTTTGTCTGATTTCTATAATTTTTTCTCATTGCCTCAACTGCTTCAATTCAGCCATAATATTTTCACAAAGATTCCCTATTCTATATTTTAATATAGTTTTTTCTACGTTGACCTTCTTCGTCTTTTATTTATAATTATTATATAATGTAATAATTTATATTAACAAATTAAATTCAATAATACTAATAGTTCGTGTAATGTAAATTTCAGCCAAAATTAATTTCATGATCGCTTTACCGGGTAATGTTTTTTGTTGCATTTTATGAAAATATGTCCAACATTTCATTCCTATAGTGTGTTCCAAAGAGATTCCCATCGTATTAAAATATACAGTGGATATAGTAGTATATCTACCTTGAGCTTCGTCTTCTTGTTTATAGAAGAGTAGAAGATTGAATGCAATGTTATTAATTTTTGTACTGTTAACTTCAGACCACCCAGAAATTGTCAACGAAATACCGGGTAAACATTTTCATTGCTCATTATGGTAGTGTTTCCACTCAGTTGTTTGATACTGTTTATGAACACAAGTTTTTTTATTTAAATTTCAGAAGATTTAGACCTTGACGAATTGAGAAGTAACTACATTGTTATGTTAATATACTCAGAGAACAATCATATGTATCTATTAACAAATACCAATATGACGTATTCGGTATTGGTTTTAATAAAAAAAAAAAAATATGTGGATATATTAAAATATATTTTGTTTTAAATTTTAGAATCCATGCATTACCAGTTTATGATGCGATTAGAAATAAAACACACATTAAGTAAATATAAAATTAAAAAAATGATAGTTATGTAATTGTAGTTCTAAAGAAAAACTATAAAAATAGATTTATAGCTTAAAGTCATAACTATAATATGTATTACGCTTAAGTTTTTGATGATCTTTCGAAATATAATTTAAACCGTTTATTCAAACGTTACTATGAGAAACAATTCAACATTAACAAAATAGTGTTTTACTACATTAATTAATGGGTCTAATTAATCTCAGTTTTAGTACGACTGTTTTATAATAAAAAATATATACACCTGGTTTTATTGACTGCACAATGATGTTTTGATGTTCCATGTATTTATTTCAGGAAATGAGTATCCTGAAGTTGATAAAGACAAAGGTATTTTTTTGATTGTAGTAAACAGCCTTTAATGCTTGATTTATAGATGAAATTTGCTTCACTTTATTTATTTAATTTTTCATATCAAACAATAGTTTAAAAAATTATTATATCAAATTTAAAATAAACTTTTTGTTGAGACCAGAGCAAGAGAGTGAGACTTGTTAACCATTTGGGGTGATAGTTTAACAATGTTTATGTGTAATTCATTCTTTGGGTTTATATGTATAGAAAGAATCCACCCATTGAGTAGGAACACTATAACTGGTTGTACAAAACATTTGTTATTTCACAGATCTTTGAAATGTAATGCAGTTATGCATCGCTGAGCAACTAAAATATTTTTTATTATTTCTTTTTAACACGGTCATTTAATAAAATTATTTTCGTAGATTTTAGAAGCCTAAATTTAACCACTCTTGCAGAAGAACGAAGACGTCGTGTTGTCCCATCTTTAAAAAATATATTCAGACGTGTATTTGGTAAATAGGAATAACTTTCTACAATATATGGACAGGTTGCAACTAGTTTTATCTTTTAACACTTTTAACACTAACACAAAATATTAGCATGGCTGTACAATATGGACGCCATACATATTCTATTATTTTGTTATGACTTTATTCTAAGATATAATATAGTTGTGCCCTGCACATCTATATTTTTAATTTTGGCAAATTAAAAAAATATTTTTTTTAAAATGTTTAGATGGATCTCTGGATCATGTCCGTGGTGATGTCTCTTTAATGCGGATGTGTCGTTTGATAGGACTGTACATAAGTACAACAATTCCCACAAACTACATTAAACGTCTCAACATTGAACCCTTTACTAGTACTTGTATCCTATGGGATGGAATTATGTTCAAAAGATACAGAAAAATTAATGACGTATGGTGGCAAATAGACTTGGTTAACACCAACGGTAGAGTACAGCTACTCGAAGAACAGTTAAGATGATTTTTACCAGGAATCAATGGTATAATAATTACTTCTCCAAAATACTATAATACTATTGTTATTTTATTTAAATAATTATTTTAATATTGCACTAATAGTTTTCAATTAATTAAATTTATTTCACAATAAACAGCGCTTTACTCGCGATTACGGTTAACATTCTACCTTGTTGTCGATGATAATAGATGATATAAATTTTAAGGACAGATCTGCTTTCTCACTTTTGTTATTGGGCCTAAAATATGTACATAAGACAATTTAAACTACTGATAGAAAATAAAGAGAAATTTGAATATACACGTGTAAGTATAAAACATTAGTCGATTTCTTTGGAAAGACTCTAAGACTTATTCAAACTGGATTAAGATAAAATTTTTATCTGTAAAAGTTACAATGAACAGCTCAAGTCTTCTACTAACAAAAATGTGGTTTAAAAACAATGCAAATAAAATACATATAACATACATTTTTTGCTGTATAAATTGTAAACATATGGTTTTGTGTTTGGTGTTTTGGTATATCATGACAATTAAGTTTAAACTTTAAAGTGCATTTTGTACTTATAACCCTAGTAGTCGATTCTATCGAAGTTCAAAATAAAATAAAATTGTCAACTATAATGAATATTATAATTGTACTAATATAAATAAAACATTAATTGTTTGTTTTTCACATGGACAATTGACATCGAAAATTTTCCAATTTCAAGGAAATACATTTAAGTGAGCAGAACATTTGGTAAAAGTGTGGTGATGAAGAAATTATTCTAACAATTATATGATTCTAAAAATTCGAAAATTTACTAAAATATCAATTTCTTAGGGTTGGTTAAAAAAATAAAAATGTACGTTATTCAAATTTTAGTATTCCAATATTAAGCTGTTGCAAATTTTTAATATTTGTAACCTTTGAAACATGTTTTGTAGCCCAAAATTGTATCACGAAATTTCCAACAAAAAAATACCTTAAATATATTTTATTTATTTAAGTGTTTTCAACAAATTTTGGCATAGTGAAAACGTAAATAGGCCCAATTATAAATTAAATTTCAATTGCAATTCTCTACTGTAAACATTAGATACATGGATGATTGTTATGACTAATAAGAACATAGTCTAAACACTGCGTTGAAGTAATGCATGATCTCCATAAATCCTATTATATAAAAAAAAACAAATTAATTAATTAACCAGCTGTAAAAATAAACGAACATAGGTAAACTGCAAATTCTGATTTTACGGTCGAATTTAAAAGCTCATCCATAAGTCGCAAGAAGAACATTTAGTTTCAAAAGCTGATCAAGTCGTTTATTGTCTAAGAAATTCTATCAGCTCAACAGTTTTGGTAAGTCCAACTCTAACTACAATACAGTAGTGAAAAAAGTCAATTTTTGCAACCGTTTTCAAAATAACTTACTAAAGTAGCGTCTTGGTGTATACAAACCTAAAGTGAAAACAAAAATATTTCGTCAAAAAAAGTAACTTTTAGCAAAATGGTAAAGATTTTAGGTTTGTTATTATTTGCAGATAAAAATGAAACTTCTCTGGTTTTTAATATCGTTTGCCTTTGTAAATGTTTTGGCATTTAATGAAGGTAATTATCTTATTTTCACAATTACCAACTTTAAGAGTTATAAATAAAAAAAAAAAAATCAATATTCCACTTTTTACCTTATCGAGGGAGTAGCATTAGGTTAAATGTCTACTGTTTAAATATTTAAGTATGGTTGAATATTATTCTAAAGATTTAAAAATGGTACCCAATTTGATTTTTTCTTAATCTTTTAGTATAGCCCAAATCTTTGTTTGCTTATTCTAGATGGATTGCAGCGTGTAATTGAAAAAATGGTGAACGATGATGATCCAAATGAAGATAACGAGTGTTTCGGTAGTTAATAATAATAATAATAATAATAAAAATAAGATAAAAATAGAAAAAAACGTTTGAAAATATTATTAAAAAAAAATTGAAACTAAAATTTATCTTTATACATTTGTTAAGTGTAGTATAAAATATATTAAATTGTTCTCCGAAATTTAAATGGAATCTTTATGAATGTTTAGCTCAGACATCTTTGTCTGATTTCTATAATTTTTTCTCATTGCCTCAACTGCTTTAATTCAGCTATAATATTTTCACAAAGATTCCCTATTCTATATTTTAATATAGTTTTTTCTACGTTGACCTTCTTCGTCTTTTTATTTATAATTATTATATAATGTAATAATTTATATTAACAAATTAAATTCAATTATACTAATAATTCATGTAATGTAAATTTCAGCCAAAATTAATTTTATGATCGCTTTACCGGGTAATGTTTTTTGTTGCATTTTATGAAAATATGTCCAACATTTCATTCCTATAGTGTGTTCCAAAGAGATTCCCATCGTATTAAAATATACAGTGGATATAGTATTATATCTACCTTGAGCTTCGTCTTCTTGTTTATAGAAGAGTAGAAGATTGAATGCAATGTTATTAATTTTTGTACTGTTAATTTCAGACCACCCAGAAATTGTCAACGAAATACCGGGTAAACATTTTCATTGCTCATTATGGAAGTGTTTCCATTCAGTTGTTTGATACTGTTTATGAACACAAGTTGTTTGTTTTAATTTCAGAAGATTTAGACCTTGACGAATTGAGAAGTAACTACATTTTTATATTTCATATTTAGTATACTTAACGCATATTCATTATTTTAAAATACTTGTGTGAATAATCGTATGTATCTATTGACAAATAACAATATGGCATATTGGTGTTGATTATAAAAAACATGTGGATACATTACAATATATTTTGTTTTAAATTTTAGAATCCATGCATTACCAGTTTATGATGCGAGTAGAAATAAAACACACATTAAGTAAGTATAAAATTAAAAAAATGATAGTTATGTAATTGCAGTTCTAAAGAAAAACTATAAAAAATAGATTTATAGCTTAAAGTCATAACTATAATATGTATTACGTGTTTTACATTAATTAATGGGTCTAATTAATCTCAGTTTTAGTACGACTGTTTTATAATAAAAAATATATACACCTGGTTTTATTGACTGCACAATGATGTTTTGATGTTCCATGTATTTATTTCAGGAAATGATTATCCTGAAGTTGATAAAGACAAAGGTAATTTTTTTTATTGTATTAAATAGCCTTTAATGCTTGATTTATAGATGAAATTTGCTTCACTTTATTTATTTAATTTTTCATATCAAACAATAGTTTAAAAAATTATTATATCAAATTTAAAATAATTTTTTTGTTGAGGCCAGAGCAAGAGAGTGAGACTTGTTAACCATTTGGGGTGATAGTTTAACAATGTTTATGTGTAATGCATTCTTTGGGTTTATATGTATAGAAAGAATCCATTCATTGAGTATTAAACACTATAACTGGTTGTACAAAACATTTGTTATTTCACAGATTATTGAAATGTAATGCAATTATGTATCGCTGAGCAACTAAAATATTTTTTATTAATTCTTTTTAACACGGTCGTTTTATAATTATTTTTGTAGATTTAGGAGACATACCTTTAACCCGTCTTGCAGAACTAAGAAGATGTGATATTCTTTCATCTTTAAAAAATTTAATCGAACGTTTATCTGGTAAATATTGATATGCAGTCGTATATATACTAAGGCCACTGAGAGAACGCTACTGGGCGGCGACCAAAACTAGTCCATTCCGCCGCTGCCGATGTCACGGTCAGTGGTTGTTTGTATACAGCGTGAACTGTAGTGTTTACTTTATTTTACGTTTTGGCATACATACACCAATTTTTTGTTTTTTGCGAGTCTTAGCTCACCATTGTTTTTAGTGTTTTACTATTTTAGTACTTAGACTACTAGGACAACATGGACCACGTCGAGATTTCTCTTTCAAAAAAAAAAAAAATCCTCGTGGAAAAGTAAGTATTTGTAGGACTATTTTTCCATTGCGAACTCTTAATGTTTAAATATATATTATTTTCTTTAGTTTGTTGGGACTGGTCAAAAGCGGATTATCATCAATCTGTACAAAGACAAACTCAAGCAACAACTTGAAAACCCAGACAGCCCCCGATTGACTTACAGACAAATGCTTGTCGAAATTTCCAAGGCAAGTGGTATTGGACAACGTACAATACAAACAACATTGGCCGAGTATAAAAAACAAGGTACAGTTTCATCGCCAAACAAGAAAAAATTAAGACTTACGATACTTGACAAAGTGGACGATTTTGATAAAATGTAAAGGTAAGCGACTTTTTGTATTGCACATCGGATCAACTGACGGCTTTGCACCTGGGGGGGCCTTTTGTGCTTCGAATCCAAAACCAACTCGTCAGACTACCACGATGAAATGAATGGCGCTACGTTTTTTGAACGGTTTGAAAAAACTTTGCCATTACTCAAAGAAAATGCCGTAATTGTAATGGACAATGCTTCATATCATTCCGTTAAAAAAGATCCAATTCCAGCGATGTCTGGGAGGAAACAAGATATTATAAATTGGCTAGAAAGTAAAGGTGAGATCGTTACCCGGCCAACAACAAAAGCGCTGTTGTTAGAAAAAGTTCAGACATTGAAATCGCAATACGACCAATACGTAATAGATGAGTACGCCAAAGACAACAACAAAACTGTATTAAGATTGCCTCCATACCACTGCGAGCTGAACCCAATCGAGCTCGCGTGGTCATCTATCAAAAGCTATGTCCGGACGCATAAACAACACCTTCAAATTAATTCTAAAATGGGAAAAAGTCTAGTTTAGTCTAATTTAATTTTTAAAATAATCTTAGAAAATAATGTATTCTCGTTGAGTGAGCATAGCTCATGAGAGATAAACAAAAAAAAAGGATCAGCTGTGCACTGATTTTGTTTTGTATTTTAATTTGTTTTTCGGTATTATTTAAACACATTTATGTTGGAAAGAATGAATAAATAAATATATTACATACGTATTATATTTTGTTGTTATTGTATACCTACCATGTGCGAAAGTCGCCAATAATAACTTGTCGCCAATTATAACATGTTGCAAGCTAATTTTATTGATGTATCGGGAAGAGAGTATGAACAAGAATAATTATCGGTTAGGTTAGGGTACAAAATTATTTATAGGGGTTACCATTAGAAAATCGAAAGTTTGTGTTGAGTTTTCAGGAAGGGGGGAGATACAAAAAAAAATGTATTTTATAATAAGTTAGTATTTCGTACATAAACAATTAATTAAAACATTTCGTTGTAATAATCTTAGTATTTTTTAAAAACTTTGCCCTACGGTTTTAATGTAATGAATAATTGCTAATCAAATTATTGTAGACTATAACTATAGAAAACGAAATGCGAAGTAAAAGTCTACAGAAACTGTACACCTGTTATATATGTGTAAATAGTTAAAATGCGAATGCTAAGGTAGATTCATTTGTTTGAGTTTACAATAGCAATATTCCGGATAATAATATTCGTTTACCGATCGATTATGGTCTTAACGATGAAGTATAACAGTTTTAGGTATTCAAAGTAATAATTTTCTTTTTATTATTTTTTACCTTTGTATATTAATATCACAGATTCATTAAAACCAGATAGTGCAAATGACGATTTTTGATAGGGATTCAACTTAATGCAATAGGGACAAAAATATCGGTGCCGAAAATATTGTACACACTATTTACAACAATAACATAAACTGATAAGAACTACTGATAACAATTAGTCGATGGTGATAACAATACAGATGCTCGATAACATTTGTTTGACCACGCAGTAAAAAAAAGAATGGTCCGGATTTATTTTGTCTGTGTCAATATTGGAAACTTACAACTCGCAAGCTTCTTTATATTTCGTGCCGCTTGTCACACGTGTGTGTGTGCGTGCGTGTGCGTGTGCGTGTGCGTGGTGGTATGAGCAGTCGGCGCTGTGTTTGTTTTGCCGTGTACATTGGCAAAATTCTCTAGCAGTGTGTTTCGACGATTTCAACGGCCATGTATTCGAAAAACGTGTTCGCGATATTGATTTTAATCGGTAACGGATGGCTGCAAATAGTTTCCGACCACGAAGAAGACGGCCGAATGAAATTGGCCGATATCCTTCACGGATTGGGCAACGTGCAACCCGTGTTCGGACGATCGGAAAGCGTTTCGTTGGAAGACATACAACTGATGCCGGTCGAACGCCTAACCGAACTGGTCCGACAGAGGTACGACGACTTGACGTGCAGCTATCTGCTCAGCGGCCGGATTTACATGCGGCTCGTCGAACGACTGTTGGTCGACGTGCGGCAGCTGAGGTCGGTGCCGAGGGGTGAAGATTTGTCGTTCACAAACGAAACGGCTCGCATGCTGGCCACCGTGCACAACGCGGACGCGCTCGGGGGCGCGGCCGCGAGAAACGTCATGTGGATATTTTATGTGCACGCCGAGACGCTGTGGGAACACTTGAAATCGGTAATCTCGGGGGCCGACGACGGCGACGAAGACCGAGACGCCGTTTTGGCCGACCTCAAGTGTGTCAAGATTCTTTTCAAGAAGTCCTTGGCGTCCGGCGACTGTAGGCCGTTCGTCGAGAAAAACCGCGTCGGCCGTCTGCTGGAAAACGTTTTGTCGAAAACAAAGACAACCGACACGTTGCTGGACGAGTTCACCGCCACCAAGGCGCAGGTCACGCGGCGACTCGACGGCAACGCCGAGTGCGGCATCAGCGCGGCAGGTCACCAATGGTTTTCCATGAGAAATCTGAGCCTCGACCGAGTGATGGTGCGCCGTCGTGTGGTCGCGGACTTGACCGACAGATTCCAGGTGCACGTCGAGTGGAGACCGATTTTGGACGGTCTGAGAAGTCAATACTGCATAGGGCTCATGCCGACCGGCAACTCGTTGAGCCACCGAATACGTTCGCTGGCCACGTTCCAACACAGGTTCGTTCAGCTGGTCAAAGTCATACTCGTACGGTTGTGTCTGAAGCGCGTCACCTGCGAGCACGGCGCACTGTTGGTGGACAGATACCAAATAGCGTCGCGTAACGATTTCCAATTATTCGATCTCATAACCGACTTCATGGGCTATCTACAATTGGACGACGACGGCGATTTAATACGTCTGAGGGCGATTTTTCAGAAAACACGTTTCCAGTACAGAAATATTGATTACACTGCCACAGTCGAAAGTATATTGGACGACATTTCGCCGAAACTTTACCATAGCAAACTGTCCGATCCCATGCCGAACTTACCGTATCGACGGTTATGTCCGCTAAGTCGTTTGCCAATCATAAAACGTATTACTAACGATATCAGAACGTACGTTGAATACGTCAAACAAGTGTTGCGCGACGTAAATTTCAACGTGATCCACACGTTTATCGGTATTATGCGTACAGAGGAATTCGGCGATTTAATCAGCATTGAAGACTATTATATATTTTGTAAAAAAAGTTAGTGCCACTAAAATAATACACATAAGTGTACAACGACGTATAGTACAATTGAAAACGAGTTTATTTAAAAAAAAAAAATTATATTTAGTTATTATAAAATGCATGATACAATGTAGATAATATTAAGTAATTGGTTTTTATTAAATTACGTTATTTAAGATCGTTGCGATTGTTTTCAAATTTCAAGTATTTTTCGTCATTTTGTTTTCGATAAAAAAAACTACTGTTCTTACGTTTGAAATGGTAAAATATAAAATTTGCTTAAAAAATACAATGTTGGATAATTTGTTTTTTTTTTTTTTTATGTGCAAATAAAATATCCACTTTGAGTGTAGTGCGCTGTTTGAATGATGCAACAAATATTTTCTCTCGCGTGAAACAAAATAATTGCTAATTCTATTCGGAAAAGGTATTGAAGTTCATAATAATAATAATCGATTAATAAAAGTGAACCTACCTGGCAAGGTCATGCCGACCGTATCGGACTTTTTAAAACGGCCTATAAGCCTTATCGAGTCTTAATGGTTACTCAAAATTGGAACAACAACAATAAATTTCAATTCTGTGATTATATGACGTAACAAAATAATAATATAAGTTATAAGGTTCATATTTATTATTTTTAACTTGAAGGTATTAGTGGCAGTGCTACTGGTGATCATTTTGATTTGAATGTTAGTCAGCCATCAGTGAGCAGGTGTCTTCATGCTGTAACTGATGCTATTGACAATAAACTCTTCAGAAAACGGGTAGTATTTTCTATGACGATTTTGAAGAGAAATAAAGCTCGTGAAGAATTTCGGAATGCACCACAGCCGTTTGAAGGCGCCATTGGAGCAATTTATTGTACCTTCATAAATATTCTTGCCCCTAAAGTTCATGAAGAAGCTTATGTTAACCATCACGGAAATAACTCATTGAACGTACAAGCAGCGAGTGTAAAAGTGTTGATATTTTTTAATATTCTAAAAAATTAATGTTTTAGATAGTTAGCCCAAAATGTAGCCAACAGTTAGGCGTGTCTTATAAAATTGACTTATTTGCCATCCGAAAATTATGCATTCAACGACTGTTAAGCGCCAAGTCGCTTCAAATAGCATCGCATGTACCACAGAAAATTAATACTTTACAGCAGTTTGGTTGCCCAATAAAAAACCCACTCTAAAAAAATTCAACAACTAAGTTTTTATCAAACCCTAGTGCCTGACTATTCATACATCTAATATATGAACAACCAAAAAAAAAAAAAAAATGAAAAAGGCGCCTTGATTGAAATCTTGACAAAACTTGACTACAGTCAAACATGTTTTGTATTACCATTAGCGTTCTTAAAGGGTGTTCAAACATTTTTGAAAATAAAACATTTTCAAGGATAACTTGTTTTTTACATTCCTTCTTGGATCGTAGCTGTCAATTTGCGTTACAACGATTTATATGCCTAATCAATGGTGTAATTTCAGTTTTTGAAAGTAAGTGGAGATGACAAATAAACAATAACACTAGCAGCCTATGGCC